CAGCTTTGGTCTATAAAATAGAAGTACTATTAATGTCTACAAAGAAGATTGCTGTGAGTAGGAAGAACCCCGGTTCAGATACTTCGCATGATAAATATTCTCTTAACAGTCATTGTCTTTGCTACTATAAAGTGGGAAGTAGCCACATTACACGCGGTTCCTTTGGAAGAAAAGATTCAAAAGATTCAAAATAATAATTAAAAATTTAAGTAGTAACTCCTGACAAATGTAATTGTATTCCATGCAGATAACAGGTTTAAAGGAAATCATACTTGTGTATATTTAGAGAAAGATTACTTTAAAAGTATTTTAAGTATGGGATAGGGATATGGCCCAGTGGTAGAATCCTTGCCTAACATACTGGAGGTTGTAGGCTCCATCCTAGGACTTGGGGAGCGGGGAGCATTTCCAGAGATATTACCACACAGAGAAAGTAATAGGGAGAATGAAAAACAAAATTGTTACAAATACGGTCTGAGCTCATAGGGTAGAGCTTTGGGATAATTTGAATTCAAGGAGCAAGGTCTTCTTTTGATCTGATCTTGTTTCATTTTACACACAGATTTCTCTTTCAACATTTCCAGAAGCTGCCTCATAAACTCATTTAGGATATAGGATTTCCTGGATATTCTCCAAGCTTTTCCTCGTGCACTTAAGGCCCGCAGGAGCAGAGGATTTAGACTGAAATGAGGAGACTTGTTCTGGAAATCTTGGTAGAATTTGGCAGATGCCAGGCAGTGAAGTCTGGAGTATATACTTTGCTAAGAAGTACATTTGAAGAATTAGGCCTTAGAAGAGTCATAGGTATGTGACACTTGAAATCACCGAAACTCCAGCACAGTTTACATCCCGGTGTTTGCTTCTTGACTATACGTTTTGTCTCTTAAAACAGCCGGGAAAATTCCTTGGCCCTGTGAATATGCAGTTCTGTTTCCAGATTAGAGAGCGTGGCTTTGCTCCTGTGATTTGGAAAGGCTTCCTTTGCTGCTTGTTTTCAGAGTGATGAGGCACCGGCTTCTGAAGGTCAGAGAAGTCGTGACACATTATTGGTTCGCTCATGGCTCCTTACTTCACAGTGAGTTCAGAGGAACATGATGCAGTCGGTCCAGTCAGCGATGGGCATGATGTTCTGAGGCAGAACATTTGGGTTTCCCTACAGGTGTAATCGGCATGGAGTGAGTCATTAGTCATTGCATTTTCTGGAAGAGTCAGAAGGGAACAAGTTTAGAGTGAAACTGAATACGGGGTTATAATTCATTTTAGTCATTCAGAGATTAGGATGTTGTTCTGCAGCAACCTTGCTCACCAGAAAGGCTCAGCTGAGCTGCTTTCTCATGCTAAGTACTGGATAGAATCAGAATGCCTGCTTTTTCCAGTCTTGATTTAGCATTATTTATGCTAGGAATGCTTGAGGGTGCTTTACGCAAAGCTGTCTTGTCTTGTTTTGTTTCTTTCTGAGACAAAGTTTTGCTATGTAGCCCAGGCTGGCCTCACACTCACTGTGACCCAAGTGCTGGCATTACAGGTATGGCATGTGCCACAGCACCAGGCTAAATCTGTCCTTTTCTATGGTTAGAAAAGTCTGAGGGGGTAGGGCATGGAGACAGTGGTGGTGAAAGGTCATATGGAGCCCTACAGAGCCAAGGAAAGGAGAGGTTAAAAGAAGGAAAGTCCTGAGAGACTCCCTATCTGAGCGCTCCATCTTACCGATCTGCTTACAGGCCAAAGGTCAAGTAACTCACCGACTTCCGAGGCAGGAGCAGGATGGAGATTCCCACGTAACAGTGTAGCTTTCCCCACTGGAGACGGTTCATAGAGCAAGGGCAGCACAACACAAGTACTATATAGTATTGCTAGCATTGTGAAGCCACCTGTAAATTCTGACTCTCAGGAAATATTCTAGATGTATTTCTCCTGACTAAACACAAAAACATACTCCTTCCAAGGCTGACGATTTCTTCAAATCAAGTGTTTCATCCAAGGCCCAAGGCTTGAATCTCAGCAAGGTGCTGGGAGAAACATTTCAAGCAAGTGCTATTGTGACTGTAGTTAGCATTCGCCATTTCCCATCAAGAGCTCTTTTCACATCCGAAAGACTAATGGGATAAAAGCAGTTGAGGCATTAGGGACCTGAGAATCAAGGGTTTTCATCATTTCCAACACATATTTCTGACAGCCGGTTCCTGGTAGGTCATGGTTTAGCCTCAGGAGGCTTTCGCTCTGACTCAGGGGGACCTGGGCGTGACCTTCCACTCAGAGGGTCTCCCTGGTTCCTCTTACTTTTCTAGCAGAACACAATTCCAGCTAACAACGTTCTTTGCCCTGGTAGTCTGGAGAGAAGTTTTGCCAGCCTGGGAAGACCTCTGGCAAAGGCTGAGGCGCAGGACTGGGCATGTTGGAAAGAAGATCTGAAATTCTTTTGTGTTATCTGCAAGTAGGAAGTTCTAACGCCAGCCACACACCTGCACATTTAAAAAAAAATTATACAGAGGCGATGTGGAGGTCACCATAGGAGGTTGTAAAAATCCCTTTGGGAGAGAAACTGGGCAAGAACAAAATAAATTTAGAAGGCTCCTTCTCCGTGGTGCTTTTAGCTGCGGGTTCCTGAGGTCAAGGCCCAGGCTCTGTCCTGCTCATTAAGCCAGGTAGGTGTGTGCCACAAGCGTGGGTGTGGTTTCCTACAAGGTCCTCAGGTCTTTTCCCTGAAGCTGCTGGTGCGCATAGGGTGCATGCAGGTCTCATGGCTGGCCTTTTGGGTGGACAGGTTGCCTTCTCTTCGCCGCCCTGGGGGGCCCTAGACCCAACCCCTCTCCTCCCCCGGTGCAGCCTCAGCGCTGGACCAAGGCTTCCCCCAGATAAGAAGCAAATTAGCCTCCTGGAAGGGAAGTGAGTGTGTGGTTTTGGGTTTTGAGACTTCCCTCTCCAGCCAAAAGAAAGCAGAAATGGCCTACGCTCTAATGTCCTCCAAGGGTTTGGTGAGGCGGAGGTGTGGGGAGCCCCAGACCGCCCCAGTTCTCAGACCCCTCTGCCAGTGTTCAGCTCCCACCTTTCCCGGACCTGGGACTCCCAACTTCCATCCAGAACTTGTAAGAATAGGAAAGCGTCTCTGCTGTCCGGACTGGAGCCTGTGGGTGCAAGGAGGACACTTGTGGGGTGATCCCCTCGGGAGCTGAGTCCCTGAGGCAGCTACGGGGTGGGGCTGGGCTGCTCTTTCGATTGTGCCGAGGAGCAGATAATGGGTCTTGCTGTTGTGGAGTTCAGGGACCAAGAATCTCAAGTTCTCTGCTTAGTCTTTTACTCCAGTGAGCGCGGTCTGACTTGGAGGCCTTGGAGATTTTGGGGTGCTGAGAATACCTAAACTCAAAAGAGCAAATAGCACAGCCTTTGTGAGCCCAGGAAACAGTTCCTGCTCCAGAGCTGCCAGTTTGTCCTGCTCCAGAGTCCTCGGGTTTGTGCTCTCCCCCTTTAACAGGCCGTGAAGTCAACAAACTCCCCACATGGTGGCTCCCTTCGCTAAAGTTGAGTGGTGAATTCACATGGAGGCTTGGAAATTTTCGAGTATTTCTCCAGGATGGACTCTTTCAGAATGAGCGTGGGAGGAAAGAGGATTTTAATGGGGTTCACCTTTGACGTGAAGCGAGGTGGAAGACAGGAAAGCCGCAGTAGGTGATAGCTTTGGGCACTTTAGTGAGAAAGGCATCTCTGCTTGATGATCCAGCCCTGCTCACCGCAGGCTCTGTGTGTGAGCAGAGGCCCCATAAACACTGCAACGGAGACCCACAGACACATGCAGCAGAGACAAAGAGGTGCATTCGCATGCTGATGTGGCTTGAAGAATTACTGAAGGCAGACACTTAAGCCCAGCTAGGAGGAGACTTAGAAGTGGCGGGCAGTTTTGGGTCATTCACGGAATAAGCAAAACTTTGCCTTCTTGGAGGAAGTGTTTCATCTCAAAGAGCAGGAATAGCATTGAGAATGAGAAATGGGGCTTGGAGAAAGTATTCAGCACCAATATTGCTTATTTAAATATTAGATCCGAACCAAAGTAACAGGAAACAGTTAACTGACGTTCCTTCTGTTTTTTTGTGTAAGATCCAATAATTAAAATGCATACTAATGGTTATTGATGTGTCTATTTCCTTTTTAAAAGAAATAGAGCCAAGATCTTTTACTGGAGCATACATTTATGACTCTTTTTGAATTCCTTGGGGACTTGTAAGGTTCAGGGTGGATATGGTCTTCCCCCATTTCATTTCCCTTCCCATGTCATTTTCAGTTAAAATAATTTAACCATTCCCAAGGGAGGGATTCCCATTAGAAACCCTCAGCAAAGGAACTTGTACTGGGAATCCTGCTTTCCCAGTCTGCCTGTATTTCCCCAGACAGAATTTAACTTGTAAAGCAAGTGTAAAAAGCACATCTCTCACCCCCAAGTTCTTCCAATTTCAATTCTTGTAGAAAACATGATGTAACAGCTTCAATTTTTAAAACCAGTAAGAGGTACAGAAAGTGTGAAGGTGTACAAACAGCAAAGCCCGACAGCCAAACATCAGGACTCACAAGAGACATTGAATGGTTTTTCGTGAAGTCTACAGCAAGTAATGAGCCTGTTCTCAGCACTTGGGCATTCATAGGTACTACGAGGGAGGGAGAAACCCGAACAGCAAGGTGATTTAGACAATGAATTGCCACATTAAAAGCACCACTGCCAAATCTTCAGGTTGAGGGGCTGTGTGAAAATTAAACCAGTGACAATTTTCAACACTTGCAGCATCTGCGCCCAAGCAGTTCAGCACTGATAGCCTGGACAGCTCCACAGGCCGGGCTCCCGAGGCAGCCTTCGCTCTCACCTATCCACTTGTAGCCAGACTGTCAGCGACAGCCAGACTCATTAGAGATTTACTGAAAGTCTTCCAAGACTTTCCCTTTAAAAACAAAACGACTTCCACACTTAACTGTCCATCTGAAAGAACATACGCAAGAAATTAGGAGATCTAAATTAAATTTATTAATAGGAGAGCTTGATGGTGCTTGATTCCAGAGACCAGAGCTCTCCCTGGTAGGGCTTGATGAAAAAAATAAAGAGAAACAGTGTGGATATAGTTAAAAACATGACTTTTACCATCCTGGAAATTCTACAAATTCTTTATCCGTCCTTGAGAAATGGGTGAAATTGAAAACCATCAAAATAATTAGACTTCTTAAAAATTGGATTGTATGAGTGAAAGGTGTTTATGAGAAGTCGATGACTCCGGATCTTATCATCCTAGAGGACAGCACAGAATAGTTAATACATTCCTTGAGGGACTAGGATGCTGACGTCTTTTTTCTGATACCCGATCATTACGTGACTGAAAAAAAAAGGAAGTCATTTCATGAATAAAAATCGGAGCGCAACAGCGCAACAAAATATTCTGTACTTAAAGGCAATAGGCAGGCAGATGTTGACAAAGAGGACGCTCCTAAAACCATGTTCAGATAGATTTTTTGCTAACTGCATATATAAACACAAGCAGAAGGCCGGTCACCTCTGTAAGCACCGGCAGCACCAGAAGAAGCCGCATCTTCAGACGCAGCCAGAGGGACCTCAGAACAGACCCGGTGCTGCCGAGTCTCACAGCTGCCTGGCCGGGCTGCACTCGCCGGCCCTCTCCTTTCCCTTCTTCCCCTTCTCCTCTGACTTTTCATCTTTTCCTTAACCGCCTGCTTTTTTCTCCCAGTGGACTTACGGCCACTTTGCTCCCCCTCCCCTTAGCTAGTCGCCTCCTCTTTCTTTCTTCACCGCTCCTCACCCTCTTCCTTCTCTCCACGTCGCGCTTCCTTCTAGTTCCGTGCTTCTACAAACTTTTGAACACAATACTTAAACCCTCAGCAAACAAGTCCTCCGGCTCCGCCTGCTGCTCCTGCTCATCCCTGCGGCTCGTCTTCAGATACCGACGCCAGACGGTGATGCCTCTCGGCTTGTGATTCCAGCGCAGAAACTTGAAGGAGCCCTTTGCCCGCCGTCCTACTTGTCAACCGATCCTCTCCCAGCAGCGGTAAGAGTTGAATACGAAGGGAAAAATTTCTCACCAAGCCAAACGACTCCCTTGACTGCTGCTTTCCTCCCCGCTTCAGCGCGGGCATGGGGTTCGAGTGAGCGCTCGCTCGTACCAGGTCTGGCTAGTTACTGGGCGCTGGGTGGATGCATACATATTTTTTCTGACTACCGCAAGGAGAAGTGGCGGGGCGCGCGCCGGCTGATGCTAAGTGTGTTGCACACAGGCGGCCAGAGCTTCGCTCCATCTTTGGCTCTTGGAGTTTCTTGGGGTGGGTGGAAGGCCAGGGGCTTTCTCACGGCTTTGTGCCTTCTTTTCTGTCCTGCGCAGAATGACCATGTGTAGCGGAGCAAGACTGGCCCTGCTGGTCTACGGGATAATAATGCACAGCAGCGGCTACTGCTCACCTGCCTCCGCCGGACTCCGGTTCCCTGGGGTCAGGTAGGTTCTGGGCGCCTGGGCTGAGCTGAGGGTTCCCTGCGCCGGACACCGCCTCACCGTCGCCCTCCTGCCGTTCCTGGGGGTACAGGCTACTAAGTGCCACGCTCTGCGCCTCCACTGCGCCTCTTCCAGTCTTGGCAGCCCCGGGGTCCGGGATAGCTAAGCCGGGGCAGAGCAGGCTCGCTAAGTCTCGGCGCCACTCCCTGAGCCCCAAGCACCCGGGCCTGGGTAGAGAGCGAGCCTCCAACCACCCGAGAGACCTCCCCTCCCCCAGCCTGGCCCCAGGGAGGGGCGGGCAGAGCCCCCAGTCGGGCTGCTTTTACCGATTCTTAGAACGAGTTCGGAGAACTTCAGCTCCCAGTGACAGGCGGGGGGCTGAGCGCGTAGCTCCCTCGGACTTTGCTTTGTTACAGCTTATTCTGAGCTATTGGGGCGGGGTCTCTCTCTCCTCCGCCCTTCCTCTTCACCTCATTCGCATTCCTTCCCCTGAAGAGCTTCTTTCAAGCGATCCTGGTTCCAACTGCATTTTTGAGCCCCAGACTGCCCTGGGGAGGGGGAGTGCAGGCCGGCTATGGCTAAGGAAAAGCGAGCCGAGAGAAGGAAGCACAAGAACAGACTGCAGGGGCGGGGGACAGACGGATGCGAGGGAGGAGGAAGGGAAAGCGGGCAGGCAGGCGGGCTGGAGGACAGCCGTGCCCACCCCGGGATGGAGGAAGCCTGGCTTTTCCTTAGCCTCTGGCTTCTAAGCGGGCGGCGCGGTTGGGTTTCCCACTGCAGCCCCGCAGCCCCCGCCGGTGTGCGGGACGGTGCAGGCGCACCGGGCAGCCCGTGGCGCTCGGGGGCGGCTTGGAGCGCGCGCCACGCGAGTAACCAGGCTCCTCCGAGCCGCGCCCAAGAACGATCGTCTCGGGGACCATCGCGATGGGGTCCAGCTTCCGTTAGGGTTCCATCATCTGGGTGCAGGTTAGGACAGAAAGTGGCCGGAACTATCTGGGTCGGGCACCTGGACGGGGGCTGAGGCGCGCAACCGAGGAAGGGCTGAGTGCGGGGCAGGCGGAGCGATGCGCTGGCCTTGCTCTGGCCTCTCCAGGGATGCACAAAGGCAAGCGGAGTGCGTAGCACAACTCTAAGCCTGCCCGGAGCGCGCCACTTGTCCGGGCCACATTCCGAGTCTCTGGGATGGGACTTTGTGTTTTAACGCACTTCTCTCCGTCCTGTACACGGATGCGGGCGGCAGGTGCAGGCTACCAGGAGGTCGCGGGCACTCGCTCTCGGTCCCCGGTCTTTCTTTGCGCTCTGGGGTGGAGATGAGGTCCTTCCACCTCGCCATCTCTGACACACTGGCTTGATCTATTTACTTAGTGGGCTTAAAAGCGCTCCTATTTCCCCCTCAATGTTCTCAAAGTTCCGCGTGCCTGGCACTTTCCCCAGGCGAGAGGCACCGGAGCGCGCGGGCACGCCACAGAAATGAGCCGCCGCCAAACCGGCTAAGTTTAGGAGCATCTATTATTCATGTTCCTGCCAGATCCTTTCCCGCCCAAAATAGAAGCTGGAGGTTCTCCGTGACCTACATCTGCGGGAAGGGCTCCCCTGGGCTCCGAGGCTCGAGGCTCGGGTGCGGGTGGCTGCCGACTTGGCCGCCGCACACCCCCGCCCCTCCTCCCCTGCCGGTCCAGGCCCCCCCTCTGGGTGTTGGCGCGGTGCGCGTCTCCTCTCGTGGCACCTTTCTCGCACCCGCCCGCCCCTTGCTACTTGGGGGAGGCCTGCGCGCCACGCATGGCCCGGGGCGGAGGTCCTTTCTGAGGCCGGTGTGCACTGTCTGCAGGGATCTCTCGGCTTCCCCAGACTCGTGCAGGCCGCGGTCCCACAGGGCAACCTTTCTACCCCACTGGAGGGTGGGCGACAGCCTCGAGGAGTGGGGCTCCGCGTCCCCACCCCGTCCTGGAAGAAAAGCCAGTTTTTCGTGGGGGACCTTCGCGGAGCAAGTGCATCTGTGCGAGCCCCTTTCTTTGGGTCGTCGCAGAAGTGGGGTGGGTCTGGGAGTGACCAGTCCTTCTGGCTACCCCGCAGGCCGGAGGACGAGGCGTACGACGAAGACGGAAAGCCGCTGCAGGACCTCTACGACGCGGCCCCGCCGGGCGCAGGGAGCCCCGCCTCCGCGCTGCAGGACGCCTACACCCTGTACTACCCGGCCGAGCGCAGGTACCGCGCCGCGGGGCCCCGGGCGGGACGGCGGGCTGGCCCGTCTCCGTGGAAGTCCTCCGGCCTCTCTTTGCCTTGGCCCGATCCCGAGAGCGACAGGAAATGAGTGGCGGGAGGATGGCCGCGTGGGGGCCGAAAGGTCGGGGCCGAGGAGTGTCAGCGAACGTGCGCCTGGGCAGGCCCGGAGTCCAGGCTCCCCACCGGCCATCTCCGGAGGCCAGGACTGCCTCGGGGTGCTAGCCTCGGTCCTCCGGCACTTCCCAGCACGTCTTCCCGAGTCCTGCGCCCCTCCGCGGTTCCCTCACCCTCCCGAGCGCCGAGCGCGCGCCCAGCAGGGGTCCTGGGGCTGCCACTCGGCGGGGTGGGGGCGAGGCCGTGACCCTGGGTGCACACGCACTTTGTCTCCCCGTTAGAGACGTCGCCCACGGGCTCCTTCACAAAGCCTACCGCAGGGTGCTGGATCAGCTGTCGGCCAGGAAGTACCTGCAGTCCCTCGTGGCCAAGGGTGTGCGGTAAGAGTTTGCGGGAGGAGACGGCGCGTGACGGCGCGCGGGGCGGGCGGGCGGCTCTACGTCCTGCGTGCACGTGGCCGAGGGTGTGGCCGCGCGGGTCGGGGGTTCGGGCGGCGGCGCGGGCCGAGAGTTGGAAGGGGCGCTTTAGATCTGGAGCAAGGCTCGGAGAGCTCGGGGCCTGGTGAGAGGGACAGAGGGGAGGAAACCAGGGATTTTGATCTTTTTTGCATTAAAAGAAAAACACTCCTTCCCCAGTCAATCACAACCTTCAAGGTTCCCGGGAAGATTTGCTGTCAAGCCCTCTAAGGCTGATATTTTTTTGGGGGGGGGCGGGGAATGGGCGTTGCATTTACTATAAATTCCAATCGAAGTAAACAAAACACTAAATCTGGACACTTTAGCAAACAAACAGTGTTTGCTCACGCTAGGGCAAACCCAGAGTTTGGGGCTTGTGTGAAACCTGTCTCAGCAGAAGGCAGCGTTTTAATAAACCCCACGGGGAAACAGATTACATTTTCGCAATGAATAATTCATGAGGTGAAAAAATATTGCCCATAGACTGTCGACTTATATTATTATCACATTTTGCAACTTAGCATGCGGAAGGAGTGCTGGTGTCGGGCCAGGAATTGCAGGATCGATCTAAACGCCGCCGCAGCAGCCAGCGTGGCATTTAGGACCTTCGGTTATTTTCTTTGTAGGTCGGGGGCGAGAAAGGCAGTTAGGACAGTTTATTGCAAAGGCACGGATGGTCAGATCTTCCAAGGCAGTGTTTGGAGAAAGGCTGAAATCGCGTGTCTGATTCTCAGATCTCGTCCTGGGCTGTAGTGCCAGGAAATCCTGGGTGCCCCGGAGAATCGAGGGGTTTTCGTCTCAGCCCTGCCCCTGGCACGGGAAGGCAGCAGGGAGGCAGCGCGCGCTCGGTCCCCTCCCGGGAGGCTGCGGTGGGGTGGGTGGGGCCCGCCTGCGCCTCGAGCCTTTGCCTGGCGTCTCCCCCTGACCCCCCTGTTCCCCACCCCTTTCCTTACAGTGGGGACCTAGGTGGCGGCGCGGAGGAGGACGACTGGGAGCCGCTGTCCAAGCGCCACTCGGACGGAATCTTCACTGATAGCTACAGCCGCTACCGGAAACAAATGGCTGTCAAGAAATACTTGGCGGCAGTCCTGGGGAAAAGGTATAAACAAAGGGTTAAAAACAAAGGACGCCGAATAGCATTTTTGTAGCGATGAGTTACCAGCTACCCTGTGTATACAACCCTGACACAATGAAAAGTCGTTTTCCAAACTGACCGAAGTCATCGCTCGTGTGTTCTATCCAAACATGTATTTCTGTATGAAGTAAAGCCATTAAATGAATATTTTGATAATAATATTGTTTTTCTTTTTACAAAGCACTAGAGAATGCACAGATATACTTTGTGGACCAATTATTGATATTATCTTATAAACATATATTAAAAAAAATATATATATAAGTATAATAGAGAGCAATTCATACGAAGTGTGCACAAGGATTGAAAATTCGCCTGAGCTGTTTATGTTTTTATATAAAATAAATAGAAAAAATAGACAATCATTGTTTTGAATATTAGTCCTATTTTTGTAAACTGGAATTAAAAGGATAGTATTTTTATCCACAACAGGGCTGAAGATGTGAATACTGACCATTTGTTATACTGTACATACGCAACGACGCCCTGCTCGGGGGAGATTCTGAGTAGTGGTTTGAAGAACTGCCGAAGGGCATTCTCTCCCCGCGAGTCTCTGGGGCAGGCCGCTTCAGGCCAGCCTAGCTCCCTCAAGTGGGCACCGGCCCGCCGGCTGGGCGGCAATTCCAATACTTTCGCTTTCTTTGATTCTACTTTTTATGTGTATTTGTCTCTCTTCAGACTCTCAGCCCAGAAGGAAATTCTAATAAAACAACAGCTCGATTCAAATTGTGCTTCTCCCCAGAATTCACGCCACTCCCTGGGGGAGGAGTTGAGGAACTGTACAGAGGAGGGAGGCTTGGATAGGAAGCTCTCTTTTCTGTACTTCCGGATTCACCAGGGACCCTACTATCCCAAGGTTAGGGCAATTGGAACAAAATGAAGGAAATGGAGCTTTACGGGAAGAGGCAGAGCAGAGGCAGAAGAGGAGGACCCTGGAGAGGGACAGTGTGAGCAGCCCCTCCCCCCAGTCCGGGAGTCTGGGCAAGTCCAGTGCGCTGCAGGTCCACTGCCTGTCTGACTTAGGGCGCTGGGTATTGGAAGTGGATGCAAAGTACAATGTGTTTTTCTCAGTGCTGTCCACGCTTCTCATCTTGTGAAGTGGCCAGGATCCTCCCCTTTGAGCCCTGCTTTGTAAAAAGCCACCGTTTTCCTTTGTGGTTTTTCTGGAGACCCCGCCTTCCTATCCTCCTGCGCTGTTTAAGTACTGTTTACCATTTTGTTTTCGTTTGCTTCTCTTAAACTTGTGAATGCTTCTTACTTGTGGTTGTTTGATGCAAGCAGTTACTGTAAAGCTTAGGAACGCCTGTGTAGCTACCACTAAGTAATTATGCACTAAATATGAACCTTTTGTTTCTTGTTTATTGAGTTTGTAGGTAAAATGTATTTTTCTACATTCTGGCTTATTGCTTAGTAAAATTTATTTCATAAAACCAATCTTTGTCATAATAGAATGTGTAGTGTTCACATGTTGCTCAGTTTTACTGATAAATCATTTAAACCTCATCTTCATATGTATGAGTACTATCTTATATCTGTGATCAAGAGCAAGGTAAGCAAGCTCTCACAACCCACCCTTGTATCTTTTCTTGGCTAAAGAAAGCATGTTTGTTTCCTGTCAATTTCTTGAACATATAGAATGATCTCTATAAACAAAGAACCTTCACCCAGCAACCAGATCAAGCAGCAACAGACAAACCAGCCAATTCCCCAAATTTCAGAACACAAATTTTTGCAGAAAAAAAAAAAAAACAAGAAAAAAATTAAGCATCTAATGTGTAAAAGTTTAAAGGACCTTTCCTTTTTTTTCTTTATGGATTTGATCAGTATGAAGTCTTACACGAAAGAAAACAGAATCGGATTTGCATTCCCAGGTGGGATGGATGCTGCCAGAGATCACATTGCAAACGGTGAAATAAAGAGGCATTTGCTCTATGCCGGAGTCACAGGATCAATCTTTCTCTAATTCTGCAGTCTCCTCAGGCAATGTGACACGGGATGCAGTTTGCAGCTTTAGTGCCTTTCTTCGCCTTTTAAATCGCCACGAATCACAGGTGGCTATTTAGTGGCCCTACAATGCTGCAACACATCAGCTTGCATTTTAGTCTTAATTATTTGTCTCTTGGATAATGGGCAGCGTTTTCTGTATTTGTGTCAGCTGTTAGTGGTGAAATAGGGCTCTAGTTAACCTTTCATTGATGCAGTCTCATTTAGTGTTCCCACGGCTAGTTGCAAGCATTTTACCGTGATCACCCAGTTTAATCTTTTGTATATTTTTTAGAAATGCCAAGAGCCTTACTAAACTGGAGCAGAGTTATGATATAGTGATAATTTAGGTAGATGTTAGTCTTGAAGCTCTTATTTTGTGTGCAACTGATTATAAAGACATCTTAACCAAGTATTATTACACACATGATATCTATAACTAGGACTTTGATAACTGTTATATAAAGTGTGTAAAATTTGTATGAATAAATTTTTGTAAACAATGCAACTTGGTCTAATGTTTCGAGAAAAAAGATATCCAAGAAATAACTACTCTAAAATCTGAAAGTATTATATTTCTTTAGCAATCCTCAGATCTTTCATGTCTGGAATATATATCTAAGTATCCATGGATTTTCGTAAGCTGTGCTCTAATATCTGCTTGATGGGTTACTGGATTCAATTAAAAATTTTAAGTAGCTACTCATATGGCGATGCCTAAGAGGTATAAAGCTCATAAATAGGCATGGATGTCAGAACATTGATAAGACACACTATTTAGATTAATTTCCACCTCCCTAGTGTGTGTGTGTATATATATATATATATATATATATATATATATATATATTGGTGACAGATAATATTGGAGAATTAGTTAGGCTTCTAAAATAGCTATCTAACATTGTTCTTGTACAAGTTACTGTGTACTAAATGGGTCTTGATAAAATTTTGTATAAAACGATTTAAACAATCCATTTTGGAGCTTTTAAATGTGTTTAGAGATATGCAAAGATATCTCTGACTGAAATGTTTTGGATAGAAAGAGCAAGAGCAAGTTAGAGTTAACTAGATACTTTAAAAGAAAATATACTTTGATTTTGAGGACAAAATATGAAAAATCATTTGCATATTATATGCTTCATTAGCTCATATTAACAAACTTTAAAGCAAAACCTTCATATAAAATTCCTGCAGATTCCCCAAAGGTGTGCTTTTGGAGCCACTGACTATTTCTGGGTTAAAAAATTTATTGAAAATCACTTAGAAGAAGTCATACCATTGAATTTGAAGTACCAGTTTTCATCCTAAAAATGAATGTATTCATTTAATAAATCAATAAATATGTCACAGTAGTATTAAAAGTCAGCAAGGACTAGAACATGTTCTTAGAACTTAGTTCAGCATCTGAGGCCCAGAATTACATGGTGAGGAGCTCACAATCTAGAAATCTCATTTGAAGTTAAAAAAATGAGTATAATACAGTTCATGTATACATTGGGTTTTACTGAAGTTGTTCTCCATTTTTAATCTGTCACCAATGGAGTCCTAATGTGGTAAATGGAAAAATGAAGAAAGAATTTATATACTTGAGAGCTAATGACTTGTCAAGAAAATAAAGATAGGGGCTGGGGATTTAGCTCAGCGGCAAAGCGCCTGCCTGGCAAGCGCAAGGTCGTGAGTTCGGTTCCCAGTACCGGAGAAAAACCAAAAA